TGCCCGAGTCACCAGGAACGGTTAGTGCTCCGCCTGCCCTTTGTCCCAAGGTGATACCGAAGCCAGGCTTCTTGATTCTTTTGTTAAAAACCAACTTCCAGTGGATTCCCAATTGTTTTTTTTAATTTTTATTCTGTTGTGTCTAACAGAACAAGGAGTTGAACCAGGTTTAAATAACCTCGCAGGGAGTTCTACAGATGCTGTTAGAAGTGTTCAAGGCTGAGATTTATGCTTTTTCATTAACAAATAATACCTGTTGTCCTGCTTTGATGTTCTTTGTCCTGGGCAACGCTGACGATCGCTTTTCCTCCCGGTTGCAGGGGTTGGACCGGGCTGCACTGATGAGACCCTTCTCTCGGCCATAGCCAGTGCCCTGCACACCAGCACGATGCCCATCACGGGGCAGCTGTCGGCAGCTGTCGAGAAAAATCCCGGAGTTTGGCTGAACACCTCACAGCCCCTGTGCAAAGCGTTTATGGTGACGGATGAAGATATTAGGTACAAACTATTTTGATTCTGATCAGTTGCTCTGAGGAGGCTGAGGGGAGACCTCAGCACTCTCTATGACTCCCTGACAGGACGCTGTAGAGAGATCGATGCTGGCCTGTTCTCATGAGTAATTAGCGATAGAACAAGAGGGAATGGCTTCAAACTGCACCAGAGGAGGCTCAGACTGGACATTTGGATAAAAATTTTCACAGCAAGAGTGGTCAGACACTGGCACAGGCTGCCCAGGGAGGGGGTTGAGTCCCCACCACTGGAGGGGTTTAAAGGCCGCTGAGATGTGGGATTGGGGGGGGAGAGATGGTTTAGGGATGAGCTTTGTAGAGTAGGGTCAGTGATTGGACTGGATGATCCTAAGGGGCTTTTCCAACCTGAATGATTCTGTGATTCAGGTTCTTATTTGTTTTTCATGTCAGAGTACATCTCCTTTTATTGAAAAAGGTGTCTGAATTTGCGTTAACCTTGATTAAGGCACCTCTGAGCAAAGAAGGGATTGGAGAAATCCTGAGCAGCGCGGTTCGGTTCTCTTTGCCTTCCTCTGAGTCAGCGCAGGACCAAATAAAAGCGTTAACTGCTGTGGTGGCAGTGAACAAGGTTGCAGTTTATTTAGGTGTAACTTGCTTTCACTAGTGAGTTACATTGCTAAATCAAGACTGGTAAAGTTCAGCTTTAAGCCTTTGATAGAGAACTGAATATACCGAAGACACAACCTGAAAACTTCCCATTCATTAACAGTGTTTTAAGGTAGTATTTGTTTTTGTCTGATAAATCTCTTTGAATTACAGGATGACTTTTTTTGTGTGTGCTTGATTTATACACGAATGACTAGGAAAAATGATCTGATTGTAACTTTATGATTTCCTGTGGTTGAGGTGAAATAGGAGTCCCATGAGCCACTGGTTGTTGATCACGTCTTGACTACAGCTTTGACAGAAAATGTAAGGTTATGACTCAAAAGGAGAATGAGCAGAAAGATTGAAATGGTCAGGAAGGTGATTTTCTGCAGTCTCGTTTTTGGAAATCTGAGCACGGCAGGCTGACTTTTTCTTCTTTAAATTAATATTAGTAGTAGAAATTCTTTTTTTAAAAAAAAAAAAAAAGAAATCTCGAGACAGCTGCTAGATGAGTCAGGGTTCAGCCAGAATTAAAAATGGTGCAATCAATGCTAAGGACTTGTGGTAGAAAATATCAGACAAATTTTTAAAGTGTTTCTTTTGTCTTCACTTCCAGTATTATGCCAGGCAATTCTTTTCCAATGCAGTTCTTGCAGAGGGCTCTTTCAAACCCAACCTCGTGGCGGGGGGTTAAAGCCAAGTGATCTTCAAGGTCCTTTCCAACCCAACTCGTTGTGTGGGTGAGGGATTTGAGATTCCCTTGAGGATTGATGTCAGTTTTCATTGATTTGGGGCAGGAAACAAGAGGAACTGGTGCAGCAGGTGCGAAAGAGACTGGAGGAAGCCCTGATGGCCGATATGCTCGCTCACGTAGAGGAAATAGCAAGAGATGGGGAAGCTCCTTCAGAGAAAGAAGGAGGTGAGGAAGAAGGAGAAGAGGAAGAAGAGGAGGAGGAGCAGGACCATGACCAGGAGATGGAGAATGTATAGTCCAGGTGAGGAGACTGTAGCCTTTCTCACTGTATTTTGTTGAAGCCAGAAATGTTTTCAGAAAGGAAATTGCTAAAAGTCTTGATCTGTGGTGCGAATTTAAACACTGAAAGTACCAGAAGCATGTATGAACTCAAAATCTGGAAACGTCTGAAAAGTCGAAGATGGTGTAACAGGAGTAACTCCAGGATTCGCAGCCGTGTGCCTTTACGTTGTGCGTGCCCTCAAAGTATCCCATGGGGCTTGCTTCTTGGTTTTAGGTGTATCTCCAACTCCCCTTTTGTGCAGCAGAACTTTGGAAAGGTGCCACTGGAATTCTTATTTTATTGCATTGGAAACCAAAGTAGCTCCAAATAATGAAGCCTTACCGTGTAACGGAGCAGAAAAAAGCCAGATGTTTAAGGCTGAGTCGAGATCCCCCCCGACAGGAGCTCCCTTAAATATTAAACGTTGCACTTGACAGGGACTGCGCGCCGTGCTGTGAGGCAGAGGTTTTTCTTCCTTGCCGTGTTTCTTTGATGTAGCCCTCGCCAGGAGCGCTGTCTGTGTCGTCGGTGCAGCTCGTGCAGCGAGATGAAAACAGAACTCGCTGATGTTAATTTGGATCGTTTTAAGTTTGAGCCTAAGAAAAGCAATTAGTGGTGGGTTGCGGAGATAGGATAGCCAATACCCTGGGTACTTCATTAGGGATGCTCCAGAGCCTGTGAGGCAAGAATCAAGAATGTGGAGAGGGGCAGGAAAGAAAAAAAGAAATTATATTTTTAGGATGAATAGCAGAAGAAAAACCCCTTTGGAGGGAGTGGCAGCTGTATTTCAGGTGGAAGGAGAAGTGATTTATGTTAGGTAATCCTTCAGGCTGCAGTGTTGATTATAACATGAAATCCGCTTGGCCTTTGGGAAATACTATATCTGGGCTTTCTGTAACATTTTCTTGTTTTACCACATCTCTAACGGTAGCTTTATTTGGACAAGTGATTATCTTGCATTCCTTTCTACTACAAAGCTCTGGCGGCAGCAAAGAACCAGAACAAACTCTCTGCTGAAGGTGAAAAACAGGAGATAAATAGGATGTGTTGTGGCCGTGGTGCTTTATTCTTTTAAGGGCTTGTTTACTTTAAAAAAAAAAGTCATTATTGACTTACAAGGTATCTTTTTTCTTTCCCCCTCTCTTTCTTCTAGGGAGTTCCATCTACGAGTTCCCAGTACAAGCCCTATCAGCAGGGTCAGCACAACTATTTAGAAAGCCAAGAGTGTCTGTTGAGTAAATTGCACCAACAATCCAACTGTACCTATGAGCATCCGGACGTACGCTTCAGGGGCAAACGTTGAGAAGCCGATGGTTCTTTCTGTTGCTGGGGAGTTTTGACGATGGAACTTGCCTGAACTCTACTCCCCCTCCTTTTTCTAAAGGGGTAGGGTAATCGGGAATGCGAAAGAGGGAGGGAATCGAGGAATATAAAATGGTGGGAGGGAAAACACTAGGAACCAAATGTCCTCTCTTATTTTTTGTAATTATATTTTTTATTTTATTTTGTTGGGTCAGTGATAGGTGATACCTTTTTAAACTTTTCTATCAAACTACTTTTAACAGTGACCTGTAGAAACAATCCTCTCTCTAACACAAGCGAGAGAGATGCTGTTTCACTCCTTGGCTACTCTGCTGTAGGCTACTTGTTTGTACCAGCCTGTCGGGAGGTCATTTTTTGTTGTGGATTTTCATTCCGTGTGTCAACTGGGGGAGAGTTGCCGAATTCCTGAATTTCCTTTTCCTCGCGAGACCACATTGGTCGTGGAAGCGTAGCTGCGGAGATGGACTGCCTGTGCCTCTTCCACCCGAGGGGCTGATGTAGGGAGGGGAAGTTACGCCTGAGGAATTGGCCTCACGTCAGTGGCAATCAGGGTTGGTTTTATTTTTTTAGTTAGCTCCACACCACACCGACTGCACTTACCGTGCACGTTTTTAATACGGAGTTCTGCGTGTGTCTGAGCGCGGTTTCGAGGACAACTGTACCCACTCTGTGGTTTCAGTCTGGTTAGAAGGACCTTCTCGACTTGGAATGGAAGGATTACTCTTTTCTGACCGACGCTGAGGAAAACTTCCTCCTTTTTCTTCTGGTGCCAAGACCCCTGACCTCTGTTTCTGTGTGTGTGGAGGAAAGGGGATCCATTCCGATAGGTGTGTCTACACATCTGCTTTCGTGTGCAGTAATGTTCCGACCTCTTTTAAAACAAGAAAAAAAAAAAAAAAGGTTGATTTTTCTATAATTGATATCGAAAAACGGAATTTAAAGCTTTTTATTAAGTATTAAATCTTTCTTATTTGCATGTGCAGTGAAGTGACCAGCATTTTTGTGTCCAAAAACGAGATGATGTGAAACCTGCCTTAATGTGTTTATAAGTATTTGGCTTCACCGTTGGTACCTTGATTGATTCCTCAGTCTCTTTTAGTACGTCTGTGAGCATATTGGGGGGACTTGTGGCTAAAAATGGATTTATCCGGGGAGGGCGAATAGGCAGAAGGGAGGAAGACGAGAATTTATAGCTCAAAGAAGGTTGCAAAAGTTATTTTAGTCTTAGGGTATCCGTCGCGTAATTCACGCGCGGCCGTCTCAGCTGAGAGTCCGGTGTAAAGTGGTAGATTAAATATTGTGCCACTAACCAGTTGTACGAGTTGTTGGTATCCCAAAACTTGGGGAAGAAAGTAGCTCCCAGAGCCTTTATCATGTAAGAATGATTAGAAGCGACAGCGAGGGGCCCTGGGGAATCACCTGGGAAGTGTCGTAGTCTTTGGGAGTAGTTCAGCTTAGCCGTCTGAATAGGTGTAAGCTCCTTGAGAAGTAATCCCATGCCAAAGCGATCGATACTGTATTAACTCTTTTGTAAAAGGTTTGAAAAATGCAAAAATCTCGTTGAGGTTGCTCATCTGAAGTACTGCAAGAAGACTGACCTGTATTTTGCCTGCGGCTCGATCAGGTATTGCTTTGGGGAACCTCACCTGGTGCTGCAGCCCGTAAAAATTATTTTCCTTTTTGAACAGTCTGTTATGGTTATTATTCTGTAAGTCTGTCCTCTTGTAATTCATGGTGTTGAATTAAATGTTTCTCACAAAACAGAGATTTTAAATGTTTTTTTTTTTCAGTCTGCGTCAAGCCCCAGCCTGGAGTTTCTGTGCTGTGGCCCTTTCAGTTATTTCAGCAGAGAAGCTCTTGCATTTTCGTGGTGAGCTCTTCCCTGGGAGGTAAATCGTGAGATTTGGGACCCAGCAGAGGGGAAACTTGTGGAAAACCAGTTTGGTTTTGCTGCAAGGTCCTCCCATTTCCTCATCAGGGTGCCCCATCTAACGGGCAGGGTCCTTTCAATCTCAGTTTTTAACCCGTAGTAGAGGTGTTCTTTTGATGGTTGGCAGCCTTCTTCTGATACTGTTTCTTTTTTCAAAACTTGTTTAGTGTCTAGTGATGGCTTTATGTACTTTTAGTTGAACCTAAATATGTTGTAAGGATAGGTGGCACCGGAATTTAGATGATGGAGATGTTGGTGCTAATATTTCGATGCGTTGACTATCAAGTTTAAATTGCTGCCAGGTTGGATGCCGACCCTTTTGTTTTCACCAGCTCAGAGGTCCAGCTCTTTTTCTTTCCTTTAAAAAGTTTATTAACGTTCTCATTCACATGGAGAAATCGTTCAAAGAACCAAAAAGGGGGCCCAGGACTCCTATCACATCAAAAAAAAAACTTCACAAACTTTACCTGCTTATCAAGACAGGTAAGTGAATCAAATGCTCCTTTTAAATGCTGCAACAAAAACTGCGTGAGTTTGTCTTACAGCCTGTTTGCCCTGCACGTGAGTGCCTTGAATGAGTCTTTCTCATGTTGCTGCAACAAAAACTGCGTGAGTTTGTCTTACAGCCTGTTTGCCCTGCACGTGACTGATGAGCCTTGAATATGTCCCCAGGATGGAGAAAAGCCGTCGTTACTCGAGGTGTATCTTGTTAGGCAGATAATTAGTGAAGGACATACTTAAGTAATTGAGCACAACTGGGGCAAAAGTTTCCTTTTATTAATATACAGCAGCTGTTACACGAGAGCATTTCCTGGCGGTGGTGGTGCCCGTTGTTCTGTCCGAGATGGAGTTTGTCTTCGTGGAGAAGCCCTAACAAGGGGATGTTTTTTAAACGGGCAGTTCTTTCTGTCAGCGGTAACGGCACCTTCCTGTCGCCCTCAAACGTTGTAAATGTGCGTAATGCAGAGCTGCAGTGTGAGACAGCCGGAGGTTTGTCCTGCACACTCTTCACACCGGTAAGCTGCTTTGATTTATTTTCTACTAAAACCATAGTACCAAGCTCTGTGGATTGGTAGTTACATAGTTTGAGCTGCTTTTGAAATAAGATCCAAGTGTATTTTATTGGTCCTTATGCAGCTTCACTAAGAGGCCGCATCTTGAGTCCTGTGTTTGCTTTTGGGCCCCGCGCTACAAGGAGGACATTGAGACGCTGGAGAGGGTCTGGAGAAGGTCAACGGAGCGGAGGAAGGGTCTG